ATGCCGACAAGGCCTCTGGCAGTTTCAAGCCGCAAGCGCTATTGCCTCGTCACTGGTCCACGTTACTGCGAGCCTCCGCTCTGCCTCGAGCGCTTACTCTATTTTCCTAGCCAATCACACCCGGCACCCTACCATTCCGCCTCAATGCGCGCAAGCCTCCACACGAGCTAGCTGGTGAAGTTGACAACCTCCATGGTAGGGATGCGCTGCCATTGGGCGCGTACAGAATGGTCAGGGACAGGCCTCATCTATAACATGCGAGCCACTGTCGTCCTGTGAAGTGCGAGTGGTTCGCTGTTCCTGACGGCCAGACCTCCAGGATTTGCGCATTCTAGAAGCGAACCATCCGTTGCAGGACAACACATTCGTCGACAGGCTGCGACTTTATCCGAATGGTTCGCGCAGTCAGCCTTTCCTCTCTCATCCTTACCCTTTCCTCCAACCTTCTTCTACTACTCTCTTCTAGTATCTGTTAGTCTTTGCTTTTGCCTGCTTCAGGCACCACACTCTCTGTCACGCTTCTTGTTCGACTGCTTTTGATCATTTTGATGATGGGTTATTAGCTGTACTGGTCTACAGCGTGAAAAGAAGATGAATTACGGGAATATGCAAGAGAAGGAACCCAGGTCCCCATGGCTGGCCATCAAGTTTGGATGCTGTGCATCAAAAGAGGATTTTGTGGACGATGGGAGAAATGCGCTCAGGGCCGCTGGTGAGTTCGATTCCTTCTTCCACTCTAAATCCTCACAACTATCTCTTCACTTTGCGCTCTCTTTTCTGCGGTCGTCTCTACAGATTCCTGCCTCGATCATAGCAGTCTGCTGTCCGTTGGTTCCCAACTCCAACGTTCTTGTTGAGATGCACCATGCCACTCGCTTACGCTCTCCTTAATCTGCTTGATGCACGACTATACCCGGGCGATGCTCCAACAGACATCCAATATGTTGGAGCCGCATAGGGCAATCCCGATCGATCCAACATAACGCTAACGTCTTGATGCATAGGGGAGACTGACATGCGCATATGCTACGAGCAACCGCGTCCCGTACCCCAACCTTGCGCGGAGCCAACACTTCAACGCCCATCGACAAGTCAGTCGGTGAGCCGCCATGTCTCGCAATGGGTTTCCAACAGTCGCGAGTACGCTACACGTGCTTCGTCTCGTGCAAGCATCTCGACCCTTGCGCGACCAAGGCGCTCCCATTCAAGGCCTAGCATCAGCCGCCCAACAAACTTTCGGCACTTCGATGGTCTTGATGATATGCCTTCAATGCTCGATGATGCTTCCGTGCCTACTCGCCGTCGTCGTAGCTTCCGTCCGCTTGAGCTATCTATCTACCTTCCTGACGGCTGTGGACATCTTTCTCCACTGCCTGACTTCGACGGTGAGGATGCCTGGGCTAGCCTACCATCGCAGCTGGAGCGTCCTGCTGAAGCTCATGTCCGCGTAAGAGACTCACGTACGAGTTCTGTATCTTCAAACCCTTCTGCCACATCATTCGTCATTCAACGTAAACCCGTCGGTGGGCAATCCCGAAGGAGCAGTGTCCAGAGCCAGAAGAGCACCGCCACCCACGAGAGGAGACTCTCAGGAACCACCATGGGTACCATGGCTACGCCCACTCTAGCATACTTGCCAGAGAACTCGCCGATTGCAGTTGATCAGATGCTTGAGAAGCCCACCATCCAGCGATCGCGCACGTCCGGCACATTGTCGCCTGCCCGTGTGCTTTCACGTCTTCCATCGCCGTCGCGCAATCGGGCCAACACTGCACCATCTTCTCGCCCAGGAAGTCTTCGCCGTACAAAGACCGACGTAGATGATGCCATCCGCGAGTTGAACACTATAATCGAAGAGCGCCGTGCCAGCGCCTACCGCTCCCACGCCCATTCACCCGCACTCATCAACCGTCCCCCACCCTCTCCGTCTCACCACGTGCCTTACATCGCGCCATCGATGCGTATGCACGTTCGCTCTGAGACCCTTTCAGACATTGGCTCTGCATTCTCAGCTCCTCTGGGTTTCAAGCCACTCGCCACCACCCCAGAAGCTACCGCGCCTCGACGAGCAACGATGGGACTTACACTCTCCCCACCATCCTTCGCTCACACCGGCCCCTTGACCTCGAACCCGATCACGCCGCCACCACCCGCTACGCCCACCACACCCATCGCCCGCCTAGGAGCCTGGCTCAAGCGCTCCACCTCCACCCTAGCCTCTTCCTCGCGTCCCACGACGCCAAAAACAGCAGACTCTTTCTACCAATGCTCGCCCTACCCCGCCCTCCCTACCTCAACCTCCCGCCCCTCAACATCCGGCTCCCGCACCCTACACACCCGACAAGAAAGCCAAGAAAGCAACGGCACAGCTACCGTAACGCTCTTCTCTACTACATCCTACGCATCCACGCGTTCCACCTCGCCTACACCAACGACCCACTCTCTCGCCTCCACTGTCGCTACTTGCTCGCCGCCCCGCAAACTCCGCCGCGTCCCCGCTCCTCTGACGCTCGTCAAGGAGAAGGAGATTGCGGCTGAAGCTGGTCTCTTGAGCGCGACGATGAGGAAGAGCGATGTCATGAATGTCAAGCCTCCTATGAGCCCCAACTTTGACTTACTCAAGGGTATGGAGATTAGTGCTAAGGACGTCGGTGTTAATGGTAGGGCAAGCGCGATGCTCATGAGTCCCGGAGCCGTTGGTGTTGCCTTCTAATCATCTTTCCCTACTTTCAGCTTTTGTAGCTTTACTTACGGTTCTATGAGGTATGGTCAGGGGAGTTGTATGTTCTTGGTTCGGCAACGGAAAACAGGATCTGGGACCGGACATTGTAGGACTTTGGACTCAGCTTCTCTGGGATGGACTTTCGGATGGGTGTTCTTGATGTTTTCATGTCATTTTTGATATCCTCTTTCTTATTGTTCTTCTTCTTCTAGCGACTTGGGCATATACCCTCCGTTTTCACTCTCCTGATGCAAGCTGTCTCGCTTGTACGGGGAGGCGGATGCCTGGGCGTGTATTCTTAGCTTCTTATAATTTATAGCCTTTTGCTTCTGAATGCACTGTTTCAATGTCGAACTTGCTGGTGTGGCCTCCTTCGCAGCTTCCGATGTTGTGGCTTGCTTGTGTATGAGGCACCTGGAAGGGGAAGACGCTAAACCCCTTAGGGCGTAGTGTCACCCAAGGTGGTTACGGTTCGTGTCTCATTCTACAAAGGATACATTAGGGTAGGAGTATATATTATCTTCATTGGGCGGATTGATCAGCTTGATGTGCAATTACGAGGGTACCAGGGATGACTACAAGTCGTGTCGCGTTTCATCAAAAAATGTAAGTAAAAGGATACAGTGTCTTATATACTATCTACCTGCACACATACAATAGTGCATATGCAGCAGTCTAGGTATGCGACACGAATCCTGGCCACTCTTGGCGCGGATGTACTTGTGAGTGCTGCGGCATGAAATAATCTGCGATGTGAAGGCGTCTCATCGTAGTCTACCACCGCGCCTGCCAGGTAGCGCACGAAGCACTTCATTCCACGCGCGCATCGTGATTGCTTCATCTTCGCCCAAGCAGGAGCTTGGACGCGCAAGCTCTTTCACCAACAATGCAACGGCTTGTTTACTCTTACATTGATGTCTTTTCGACAGCACTGTTGCATTAGTAAGTGAGCGCCCACTGAGACACCCTGTTTACTGACCTGATAAGATCCTTAGTCTTCCTCACTCGCCTTGCAAACACAATATCGACTCCGAAATCGCATCATATCCCCCAGGCCGTATCCGTATTCATATCAACACGATACACGCTCTCGATATGACCAATGATGTCGACATGTCTTCTTCTGACTTTGAGGGCTCGAACGCGGATCTATACGCAATGGACCTTCCTTTATCGCTCGCCGGTAGACTGGCCGCACACCAAGCGACCGCTCAATCCACAAATGTCAGCGGTTCCACAGAGTCTGAGCATTTAGAACTCCAAGCTACACCAGAGCCTCCGCCCAGTCCTCCTTTCTTCAAGCCAGCATCCTGGAACGCGATTGATGCCGCCACCGCGGAACGACAGGCCAATATGCAGCAGGAAATAGACGCACAAGAGCTTCGCGATTTGAAGCGTTGTCTAGACCTGCGAGATTATACCAATCGCACCGCCTATGAGAAGATTCACGATTCTGAGCCGCTCGTTGTACCTAAACTTTGGTCGATGTCGGAGATTCCCCTAAAGAGCTGGGTGAAGCATCCCTTTTTGCTCGAGGAGTACCTGGAAGGCGAGCAATTTTCCCGCGAGGCAATCAGAGTTCGAAGAGAATACCTCGAAATCGTAGACTGTGGTTCACCAGAGATCGAGTGCCTCGCCGCTCTCGAGAAACACGCTATGGAAATTCGGGCGTCGCGACTATTGGCTGATATCCTGCTTGAGGCCATTTTACATGCAACGGAAAAGCTCATCTTGGAGATTGGAGATGGCGACAAGACTAAGAAGAAGCCTGTGTCGAGCCTATGTCGTCGCCTGATGGCTCATTCGACCCATACAGAGAACAACAGCGAGCTCATTCGGGCTGTGGAAGCGATCAGTGAGATGGAACCAAGACATATGCCGTGGCGATTCAACGCCGCTTTGGAATCTCGCACGGAAACTTCGCCAACATCTTCTGCAGCCGCTCCACTAGATTCACCACCGGCTGATGACATCTGTCTTTCCCAGGAGCAAATGTCTTTACCACTACCGGATGAGAAATCTCCGCCCAAGGATCTGCGTCGGCTTAGTGTTAAATTCCAGGAGAATCTGCAATTACTCAGTCCAGGTAAGTGATGTGCATTCCAGCCCTGCAAGCCAGCATACTGAATCTGTGCTACCAGGTCAATGGAGAATGCCAGGAAAGAGCCAATCAAAACCCTCACCTAGGTCACACAAGCCACTGAGTAGTCAATCCTTACGAGGTAGAAGTCACCACAGAGCCACCGACATAAGCCATTTGACACATCCCATCGTCATGATGGCTCTCGACCCGCCGTCTATGGCTTCAAGGCCCACCGACGTCAATCCCGCTCCTCACACCATGAAGCGTCGGGCAAGCCAGGAATTGACTGCTACAAGCGATTGCGAAACAAACCCGAATAAACGACCCAACAGGAGTGAACGCGACGGGAACGTCCACTCCGCGCAAGTTGAGAGCCGCGATACCAATGTTGAAATAGGTGTGTCTATATTTCACACATCTTCTCCAGTATTCCACCCCACTAATCAATCAAACAGGAAACACAGCGCGACCGGTGTGTCCTAAACCGAGCCCGCAGATGCAAGCAGCGCTTGCAGAGGCATGCAGGAAGAGGGATGAGCGACGATCGAACGAAAAGCAAAAGCGCGATGAGGATGCATTCTGGAGAGAATATTCGACAAGACTTGAGGATCCTAACAATGAAGCGTAGACGGGACAATTTAGAAGCTGGGGGGCACTGTTATTTTGGGTAGGATTAGGTATGGTACAGGCAGTGAGGTCGTGGTATTGCGCACTGTAAGGTCGTGAAAGGACGGCGAGCATCGGTATTATTATTATTACCACCATCAAGCTCGGAAAGCGACTTTGCTTCTACAGCGGTCTTGGTGCTGCATTATTGTGGTTTTTCGTGTGCTGCGTCCCTTCCCTCGTTCCCATACGTGTTTACTCCTTTGTTGAGATCAATACACCTTGTTTGAGGGACGAACTGAGCACCATTTAGTCTACATTGACATTGAGACGCCTTCTTCGCATGTTTTCATGTTGATATACGCCCCAGGATGATCAACGTTGTCTTTGGATGATGTGTTTGAGCTGTTAATGACGCAGTAGGAGTAGCGCACCTTCACATAACGTAACAATTGCGTCGAACCAGGTTATATACTCACAACCCGTACATGCGTTCCCGTTCGCAGGCCGTTCATCCCAGTGCCCAGCCCACGTGCATCCCTCTTATTCGCCCCATCCTCTCTCCATCCACGATCCTCTCTCCATCGTCCACCCGCCTCTCACGCGTACTCCACCCGCCTCTCATGCCTACTCCACCGCCACACCTCCCAAGCCGCTTCTCCTATACCACGCATGAAAATCATCCATCGCGCCATCACCACACGTGTCTTATCTCTCCTACCTGATTGACAGCGCTCCGCCACGCCTAGGCGGATGTCGCCGCTCCAATCTCCCCAGCTACGCGCTTTCGAACCAATCACCGTCCCACCTTCCCAAAGGAGCTACAGCCTCGGCCCGCGCCAAACCAGGGTCCAGCGCTGCACCTCGACCAACCAGACCACGCGCGTCGCTGCACGCGTCGAAAACATGCACAAGAAGTCAAGAGAATCTGTGGTATCGCCAAGGGCTATCGGAGCTCGCGCATGGCCGGTGGCATGTTGTTCTCTGGCTGTGATAGGCATGTCGCGAATATGAGTTAGTTGAATGTGAGGTGGGGTGGTGTTTAGTAACGGATGGGTCGGACGGCCAGCGGCGATAACTGTCAGGAACAGGTCAAGTGGAGTGTAGCGCGATCGTCATTGATAGACAGCAGCGGGACCGGGTTCTTGGAACGCGCTTTTTGACTTGGTAGCATGGTAGCAATGCGGATTATAAGAAGATAGGGCCCGAGCCTCAATTCTGGAAAACGCTATTCCGGTTCATACCTTCGTTTTTTACCGTTCGTTATGGCGACTTTGACGCGACTTCTCGCCCTTTCGGCTTCGGTGGCGGTTTCTACTGCCCTGACGATTGCGGAGATTAATGGGAACAAGTTTCTCTCGCCATACAGAGATCAGACGGTTTCGAATGTTACTGGTGTTGTTACGGCGAAGGGGCCCGATGGTCTTTGGTTGCGATCGACACAGCCTGACCGCGACGAGCGGACATCCGAGTCTGTATACGTTTTTGGTCGCACGTTTGGTGCGAACTTGACGGTTGGCGATACTATTGTTGTGGGAGGAAAGGTGGTCGAGTACCGCTCGAACAAGGACTACATCTACCTGACCCAGCTCTCGACACCAGTGTTGCAGGGGCGTCTCGGCTCTGGTGCCGCTGTGAAGCCGCTGGTCATTGGAAAGGACACACGCGACCCTCCAAACGAGCAATACAGCAGTCTGGATGGCGGAGATGTTTTCGCCGTGCCGAATAACGTCTCACAGATCAGCGTTGCGAACCCGGAGCTGCAGCCCAAGAAGTACGGTCTCGATTTCTGGGAGAGCTTGACCGGTGAATTGGTCACTGTCAAGAAGCCTACTGCGCTCACCAAGCCCAATCAGTACGGCGACACCTGGGTAGCTGGAGACTGGAAGGTTTCTGGTCGCAATGACCGTGGTGGATTGACCTTGACCGACAAGGACGCCAACCCAGAGGCCATCGTTATCGGATCTCCTCTCGACGGAACCAAGAACCCCACTGGCACCAAGATGGGCGATTCAGTCGAGGAGATTACTGGTATCGTCAGCTACGCTTTTGGCTTCTACCGCATCCTTCCAACTACCGCTATCAAGGTCACTAAGAGCCAGACGCCTGCTCTTCCTCCGGCGACCAAGCTTGTGTCGAGCGGCAAGTGCGATGGCATTACCTTTGGCGACTACAACGTTGAAAACCTCGCGCCGACATCTGACCACCACCCTGATCTTGCCAACCATATCGTGAACTACATGAAGAGCCCAGATGTTCTCTTCATTCAGGAGGTACAGGACGACAATGGTCCCACCAACGATGCAGGTAAGTGCTACAGAGAGCTTTCACAGCGTTCCCGTTTTCCTTGACCGAATGTCGTACCCGGCGACGGGGCGCAGACGAGCCGCACTCCTCTCCCGCGTCGCCCGCGTTGAACAGAATCGTCTGACATGTCTAGTCGTATCCGCAAACCTTACCCTCAGCACACTCACAGCTGCCATCTCAGCAGCCGGTGGCCCAAACTACACATTCACCGATATTGTGCCTGTTGACGACCAAGACGGTGGCCAGCCAGGTGGTAACATCCGCGTCGCCTACCTGTACAAGCCGAACCTGATTCGCCTCTACAAGCCCAACCCGGGCGGTCCGCTCGATGCCAACGAAGTGCTTGCTGGCCCGACATTGAAGTACAACCCTGGACGTATCGAGCCAGCAAATGACGCCTGGACAGCGAGCCGAAAGCCGTTGGCTGCACAGTGGGAGGTTATTGGAAAGGCCGGCGCGAAGAAGCCGAACGTGTTCTTCACGGTCAATGTGCACTTTGGCTCAAAGGGAGGATCAAGCAGCTTGCACGGAGATGCTCGACCACCAGTCAATGGTGGCGTAGGTGAGTTCATCAATCTGAGTAGATTCGTGCAACAGTCGTTAACGATGTGCTTCTAGATGATCGTCTCGAGCAGGCGCGTCTCACTGCAAATTTCGTCAAGGTACGTTGATATGTCGGTTGCGGCTCTATGCGGCAAGGCGGCGCGGAGAGGGGTGGCTGCAGCACGCTTCTCGTACCTTCGTCCCTCGGTGGTACCAAGAACGCCACGCTCGCACGAAGGGAATGCCCTTTCTTGCCCCTAAAGCTATGAAGTTGGAGTGTAGATGGGAGCACGGCTGACGTTGAATTGCAGGACATTCTTTCCAAGGACAAGAACGCCCGTGTCGTGACTGCAGGGGACTTTAACGAGTTTGCCTTCGTACAGCCCCTCGAAGAGTACACCAAGATCTCAGGGCTCAAGGATCTAGACGAGGTAGTCCGCGAGGACGAGCTCGAGCGCTACACCTACCTCTTCGACATGAACGCTCAGGAATTGGACCACATGTTCGTCTCGCCATCCTTGGCCAAGAAGAGCAGGGCAGACTTTGAGCACATTCATGTTAATACATGGCCGGAGTATGATGCGCAAGTCAGCGACCACGACCCATCGGTAGCGAGACTGAACGTCTGCGCTTAGGCGATGCGTTTCGATAGTTTGCTAGACGCGCATAGCCGATGTCCGCGTTTGATAATGCAGACATATAAATATCAAGCGATAACCAGACCCTGATTCTAGATGCTCTCGCGTAATTGAAGATGAAAAAAGCAATCACTGTGTGTTGGAACTTACCTTTCGTATACTGCCAGAAGGCATGTTGCATGTGTTGAGATGTCAGTACGCAGTATTGATACCATGTTTCATTGCGGCGTGGTTGGCCAATCTCTCTTCTACCATGTTTACGAGGAGACGAGAGAGCACGTTCCTGATGCTGACGGCTGCTTACAACAAGCTAGGGAGCCCTGTCGCAGGTGGGCGTATTTTGGCATGCATTCGAGCTGTGCCGCAGCAACGCAACTAGATGATCGCGCATCACGCAATTAGGAGCTGCGGAACGTTGAGATGGGTGGAAGCAGGCAAGGGGCTCAGTCAACGCTCGCTGATCTTTTGGATCCCATCTGACGGACGGCCACGCGACGACCACATGGACGATCGGCTTGGTGCGCTGTTTGGCGTTTCTAGGCATGACATCGTGTGCGCCATCCAGGTGTTCGGATTCGTAGGCTATTCGCCGGGGCAGCGCAACGATTACAAACTGCCTGCGGTATCGCCGTGGGCCACGTGCGGGTAGTCCAAAAGTCAATGCAAATGCCGTGCCCAGATATCGCTTGCTAACGGTAGCCCGGGTTCAGAGACCGTCGCAAGTAGCCTCATACCAGTGCTGTCGCTATCCATGGTGCAGGGTGGTGCAGGGTGCTTGATGCTGCCATGCAAGAACCAGTAGCTTCCATTGTTCCGCTCGCGCCGTGGGCGTTGGACGGCACTGGCGAATTGCAGGAGGCCAGTGCTCCATTTATCCGATGCAGCCATCTGGGCTCTCGTCAGCTTTATCCCAGTAGTGGACAGCGGGAATTCCAGAGAGCACCAGAGTGCGCGATGCCTGGCGAGCGGGGCGGCCTATGTGAGTCCGGCCGACTCTAGCGCTGCCAAGCCACCCCACAAAACCCCCGGATGATGGGCATGGCGGGGAAGAGTCCGCTGTTTGATGCGCGCTGTGGTGAAAACTCAACACCAGACCGTGAGAATCGTGTGAGATTTAGGCGCTGTGACACGACGTGCCTATAATTATTGAGCGAAGCTCAGCGAAAAGCTTCGTCCTGCCGGCTGAAAAGAAACACCCTGTCGCCCAATCCTTATCCGCGGCTCCATGCGTGAGGGCGTTGTGCCAAGGTCTTGGTGGGCGTTTTTACGAGGCTTCGAATGGTCTCGTCGGCGGTGCCCAGAGATGCCATTTAACGCAAGTCCCGGTCGTTCTGGAACGCAGCAAGTTCCCAATACATGCGCTTGGTCCGGAGCGAGGAGGGGCTCTGCCTAAAGAACGATATGGTGGAATAATTGCTTTGGTAGGGGCCGCAGTGGCATCGGTCCGCACTCCTAGGATAGGGATTGGAGTTGGGAGGCTGAAACCCAATCTAAGGATACGCGCTTCCTCTGGATCCGCTGAGTAGACGTGAAA